TATTTTTTGTTTATTATGCCATTCGGCATTTGTTTTTCATGGCATTTGGCATACCAAGCAGACGAAGCGTGCTTTTCTTTTACCGTGACAGTATTTCTATTTTTCAAAAATGTATACTTCAACACCACAATAATGTACCTACCTACTATTTATTTTTATTTTTAATCTGTTTATTGCAACAATTTCCTGCTACTATGGCCATATTACTGTATACTGGAAACGGATGGTCAAGTTTAAATATTTATTATATTCTCAAATTGTCTCATTCTGTTATTTTTCATGTAACTCATATTGTTGTAATATTATTTCATAATTGAACTCCGATTGAAGTTTATATTATGTTTATTGTTCAGAAAGACAACGTAGTAGATGACATAAGACGTAAACAATTACGTAAAACATTTTTTTGTAAAGTCATCCATTATACGACCGAGGGACGAGGGTTTGACTTTTCATGGTGTATTATAATAGGATTGGCCAGAGTTGGTAATGTAATTAGTTCCGGTGCCCATAATTGAATAATTATTTTGTAGTTAAAAATGTATAAAATGTTCAACTTTTGTATCTAAGAATTGAAAGTTTAGAACTAGATTCCACGTAAGTATCTAGTTATATCTGTTATCGCAAAATCTAAAAAAAAAGTCGTAGTTTATGTTAATAGTCATTTTAAGTTACGAAATTACATATTAAAAAACCCTAGGATAACTATTTAAATTATTTTGTTGTGATTGTATAATATTATTCATGGGTACTTGAAATTTCTAAAGTTAACTATTATGTATCTATGATAGTATCAGGGTTTGTTGTTGATGTTTATAACGCGTTATAAGTAGGTACCTAATGGATATTGTGATATGGTTAATTTGGAATTTATTATAGGTCAATTTTTTGTTTAATACCATAGATATGTTTATAATATGTCTTATACATAGACTGACGTTTTTCTTGTCGTTAATTTTTAATTTTTTTTTTACACAATTTTTGATTAATTGTTAGTAAAAAATGTTACAGAATGGTTCATACATTTTTCACAAATTGAAATTCAAAATATATTATTTGTAAGGACTTGAAAATCATATAAAAAAAAAAAGAAAACAACATTGTTTACCGATTGTCACGCTATTCAAATTTATTACTGGACACCATGAAATATTGAAAATATTTAGATTAGGTAATTTTACTTTATTTTACAACATTTTCTACGTTAGTGTTCACTTTTAAATAAATGAGGACTAGTAAGTAATATTTTTTGAAAATTTCAAATAATAGAAGGACTATAGTAGGTATATTATAATATGAGCAAAACCTAATTTGTTTAAATATAAATTAATTAAAATAATTTTGAAATCATTAAGACAATTTTGAAGCTATTTATTGTTGGATTTTATATTTTATAGTATTTTCATCGTAGATTCTGAATGGATCAATGCATTTTTTGATTTTAAAATGTTGTGTGTTATCTAAAAAAGTTGTTTTGTCTCTGTACACGATTTGTTGTGTAAGCTACTAATAATATCAAATATGTAGGGATGCTTCTATTTTATGCAAATATTTTGTATTTTTGTTTACTGACTGCATTTTAATTAAAAAAATCCATACAGTCTTGAATGGTATAATATGTAATAGCTTTATGTTAAACTGAAATGTACAGCAGAGTACCTATATACGCTCTGTTTCTAACAATTATTTCAACAGCCTACATTATGTTGGCTTTTGGAAAAGCTTTTTCCAAAATTCACTAAATGTGTATGTCAAAATACATATTAATCATTTTGTATTCAAAAAATAAAAATTATAATATATTCAAATTTTTTAAACTAATATTGTGTTTAAAAAACCTAAAATTAATATTATAAAAACCTTCTCACATTATTATTATAATGTTAAAATGAGAACATAATTAATAATTATATTAAATGAATTTCTTCACACGAATCAGACATTTAGGTTCTACATTTAAAAATAATAAATATATATTGTATATTATGTAGTTCGTACATACTATATTATGTTCTTCATAATGAAACTAAATAGGTAAATAAAGTAAATACCTATTACTTACTTGCAAGTTCCAGTCTTTATTTTTTTGCCCAAGACATGGTGTGTACTATAATTTAATGATTTCATTTTTCAAACGAAAATTGAAGAATATAACGTTACATTATTATATTAGGTTTCTAAATTATAATTAATTTTAATTTTAATATTTAGTAATCGAAAGGTATATAATTACTAATAGGGCAGAAAAGGTGACAAACGTAAAAACATGTCCTAGGTACCTACTTATCATTATTCCTATTTTATATTGCTGAAATTACTTGGTGTAAATCACTTTTCTTACCTACACGAAAATTATAGTGGGTGGAATACGAGTTAAGTCCAATTAACGAGGTTTACACAACACAGTTAAAAGTGGTATAATAAGACGTTGTCACTGGCATACCATATAATGCACGGATAGTCTGATTTATCGTAATATTTAAAGAACACATTCACATCCATATTAGAATTTGAAAAATTGTATTTATTTTTTAATGAAAACGGTTAATAACATCCTTTTCACAAGACGCATGCACTCGTGCATTCAATATGCAACGGAAGTGGTATTGTAGAGTGTAGACAAGCATTCGAATTTTAATTGTCCGTATAGGCAAATTTTTTAGTCGTTGTAGTTAATGTGTACGTACTGCGTAGTAAAGCAGTGGTTGGTGTGCATGTGTGTGTGCGTTTTTGTGTGTGAATAGTGTGAGTCGAGTGCATAGGCATGCGCATAGGGCGAGCCGGTCAACCCCAGGCTCGAATTGAAACTTTTTAGATGCATCAGGGCCGTATTAAAGGACAGTGTATGGGGGAGCAAACATAAATTCAGTATACGCCTTTTTTTACAAGTAAATAACATAAAAAAAAATTTTCTCGCTACGCTTGAACAAACTTTCTACAATATACTTAAAAAAAACCATATGCTTATCTGCTAATTAGTTATCTACTCTTGCTACATTTAGATATTGTCTTTTACAATATATTTTAACACATGAACCAGATACAATTTATACAAATTATTGAAAGCAACAAATTAATAAATTATTACATACCTACACAATATGTTTACATAAAATTATTAATTTCAAACACATGTCTCATGATGGTATGGTACATGGTATATTCTATACCCATAGCTATGAATTATTTTAGGTATTTATTGTATCTTAAGTAGACATAATGGCAAATTCAAATCAGTTGTGAAAATTGTTATGGCATTACAAGGTAATAATACATATTAGTATGTTTCGGCTAAAATAACTGCCCGTAACTGATCCGCTTAACATTTTTTTAAGTGTTTTACTCTTTTTGAATGACAAAATACAGTTTTAATTTCATATTCCAAAGCAAAACATTTTTTATTAGTATATAAATACATAATAATCAAATTTAGGATGAGTAGTTGTAGTTTATGAGTTATATCTTAAAACTAATCAAAGTGTCGATAGTAGTACGCGGTTACTACCCAACAAAACTTTAAATACCTACTTATAACTCGTAAACTCTACTCATTCTAAATTCAACTTATAACTTATAAGTATTGAAATACTCGGAAAAATATTGTGTTTTCGAAAATGAAATCAAAACTGCATGTTGTAACTTAAAACAGTATAAAAAATATATTTTCAAAAACATTGGTACTTTTTGAATAATAAGATTTATTAGTGTAAAACGTTAAATGAGCCACCCGGAGCTCAAATGTTAGCCACAATGAATATAATATTGATATTTTATGAAATGCCTAGAAATTCTGTATACTACTTGGTGATTTTTAAAGAATTGTATAATATATTTTTTTACACACATTTCCTAAATATTTTGAATAATAGGTAACCAGGCATTTCATAAAATTACAAATAACAAATTGAAAATAATATGCAGAATAGGAAAATTAGTAGTAAGTAAGAAAATCCATTTCCTCATATCATAATAATACTACCAAAGAGAGTTAATTGTATTAGTACACAAAATAATATTTATTACAAACTACCAATTTAATTTCACAGAATTTAATGCATTCATAAAAATGAAACAAAAGAAATAAATAATTTGTATGGGAGGTAGTAGGTACCTAGTACACAGTTATTACTTATTATTACTGTTATATTATTCTCAAAAATACAAAAATGTATGTAGAAAGTATAGGTACTTATTATAAGAAAATAAATACAATCCACTTTTTAAAAATATGTTATTCAGAGTATTCAATTATTAACAAAATTAAATATAATATACAATGTGTCACGGGGTGAAGTGACCGGTCAACGTCATATGAAAGTATACCCAAAAAGATGAAGAGATACCCTTTAAACTTTAAAGAGTAAGTCTAACTTTTTATTTTTTAAGTTATGGGCAGTTAATTTTTTTTATCAAAACCAAACCTATCATTAATTATATAAACTAAATAGAATTAAAATAAGTTTTGTTTTGTTAAAATTATTTTTGATTCTGAGCGATGAATGATGTGAAATTTTTCATTTTTTTTTTTTTAGTTTTTGTCATCAATTTTTGGAGGAAAAAAACTTGAAAATTAATACAAGGTTTTACACAAGTTAAAGGTAATTAAATAAATAGATGCATAATATTTTTAGGGGTGTTTTATTTAAGTTGGTTTATTCTATTATTTTTTAAACATAATACAATTTGAAGTTAATTTTAAACATTTTCAATTTAGTAGTTTTTATTTTTATTTTTTCCAGTTAACTACAATTAAATTTTGTTCAATGAGTCAATAAGCTTGAATAATAAGAGCAATTAAAAAACAAAAAAGATACATATCATTATACAACAATTTTTCATAAGCATTTAAAGATCAAATGTTGACAAAATTCATTTGATTTATCTTTAATCCTTTTAATTATCTAGTTGTATTATTATCATATGAAAACAATCAGTTATTGAGTGCTAACTTATATATTTTGTGTTAATTAACAATATAAATATTTAATTATAAAATATGATCAGTACAGCCTTTTTAAAGAAAACCTTCTTTGCCTGGTAGGTACCCATATTCTGTGGCTGCCTTTGGGTAGTGCTGATTGACTATTCGTGAGATCAGCTATTAAAATTGAAACACAAAATATTAAAAACAGTTATCATAGCAATTAAGCAAATTAAATAATTACTTTTGTAGCATACTGATGTTAGTTCTGCATAGCTGACAAACTCTTCAACCCTCTCGCATCCACCTCTTAATGCATACTCTGCAGAAATGGTGCTGGCAGGGCCCTGCCGTAGTGGTGGAAATTTCATTATAGCAAATTATACATACTTCAAGAACTGAAAAAAGAATATAAGATTTAAGACCGCACATGCCTCCTCTTGCAGGAGAAGGGGGGTAGTATCATGCATATAGTGATATATACATAGATAAATAGATCACATGATCTCCCTACTACCCACTTGTGATAAGCATTGACGAAGACCTAGAGGTCGTTTCAATGAACAAAAAAAAAAAAAAAAATGTTCGTTCCCGTATGATAGACCCAAATAAATAATTATGTAATGACATCATTTAATTTGATTCCGAATTTATTCATATTAACTTATAAATGTAATTAATAAGGAATAATAGAAACCAATGGGCAATAACTAATTTGAAAACTAATACCATTTTCTTATAAATTTTAAATAACAAGTTGATATTAAGATTGTAGGTATTTAAGTATTTTTTGGGATTTATATAACATTCTTTTTTTGAACATTAAAAATAACTGGTAAATTATTATCGATCAATAACTTGATATATATTATGTATTTTTTACATTTTTTCTTAATATAATAGGTATTATGTTACTGATTAATTAATAAAATAAACCTTATTTGTCTGTTAATCTTTAGATCCCGCTGAAATCTTACATATGATGTTCAATGATACAGAAAAACTTTTTGAGTATTATGTACATTATGAAGGGTACAACCGAAGATTATATGAATGGGTACCGAGAGATATTTAAGAATCATTTAATTTTGATTTATAGTCGGCACTTAAACGTCAAAACTTCAAATTATTATTTAGGATAATGAATTCAAGGAACCAAAGACGAAGACGAGACGAGATTAATCATGTTCCAATGGTAAAAAATATTCACTATATTACTGTATGATCAAATTAAATTGCCAGACTGTTAAGATTATTGTAATAATGTAGTGTTATAAATATTTCAAACTCAGTGACTTATTTCGGATAGCACATATAATGCATTTGTGGGTTTGAAATTCTGTCGTTTGTCATTTTGGCCTGCGTGTGAATACCCAATCAACACGTTTACCTTTATTAAGTATTGTTATTAAAGTATAAAGTTAGAGAACTTATTATTTAATAAATAATATTAATTTAATCTTTTATCGTAATGTTAAATAAATACATATTGTTAAACGTTATCTTGTATTAATAGTAGCCATCTTCCATACTGTTATACAGGGGTCGGCAACATTTTTGGCGTCAAGGGCCAAAAAATAAACAAATAAAGTTTACGGGCCATACACCTCATTTTATTTACATTTTACAGTTTAAATGTTGAACAAAGTTTAATTTAATTTATTTAAGTATCACCGCTGTTTGGTATATTAATCTATAATTAACATTATCAACTAACATAATGTGAATCCTCTTAATATCTCTGGCAAGATTTAATATTGTTTGGTTATTATTGCAGTGGGTTTCTTAAAAAATATAAAAATATATGTAAATGTCTGCTTAAACTATAGTATATTTAAAAAAAATTAAATGTAACAAGCTATTACAAAAAATGTAATACAAAAATTGACTAAAAAAATAATTCTGGCAATTAAATTTATTTCATTGTATTTTATTTTAACTAGTCTTATGAAAAGATGGATCATCCAACTATAGCTGCATTGGAGTACGAGGTGATTAATAAAATTAAGTACATCAGTAAAGTACAGTTGGGAATGTACGAAATTGACACATGGTATTTTAGTCCAGGAGAATACCAAAAGCAATCTCAAATTTTTATTTGTGAATATTGCTTAAAATACTGCAAATTAGAAAATTCATTCACATACCATAACTAGTTTTAAGCATTGCTATAACTTTCAATAAGTTCAACAAGAAAAAACAATTGAAGCAATTTAAATGAAAAAACTAACTCAAATCTATTGCAAAAATTGTATTGGAAATTTTCAGATGATGACTTTTCAACTAGTAAGGATAATACAAATATTAATTAAGTCGTTTTTATGAAAAACATACACGATAAGTATTAAATATCAAGAAAATTCACTTAATGATAAATTAGAATTCATAAAATAATAAAAAAAATAAAATAATTGCATATACAAGAGAGTGACTACTAGATATTTTATAAATATTATTTAATTAAAACGCATTTATAATTTTACAAATTAAATATACGATACAATTGAAAAATATTATATTATACAAGCTAAATGGTATATTTATCAAATTATACATTTGTGCAATCAGCAAATAAAACTCAACTTGATAATAATTTCAGGCAATTAAAATGTTGTAAAAAGGAAAAAAGATACTAATCAAATCACAAGAATAAATAAAATGTAGTGAAGCCAGAAAATGATAGAAACCCAAATGAAAATTAAAAGACCCAACTATGGTAAGGTGGTTGGTGGTTCCTGTTTAATTTGATGTGCCCAGATACTGAAACTTTTGAGATCATTATAATATAATTGTATATTATTTCTTATAAAATCTCTAGACAACTAGGTAATATTAATTTTTGGGAAATATTATTTTTATTAGGTAATATGCATAAATGCGTACTTAACCAATCTAACAATTCTGTTATTTAATTTAGGTATTAATAATTATTATTATACAGTAGGAACCTACTTAGATAACTTTAAATATTTGATTTAAGGATAGTAAGTTTAAAAAAAATGTCCTTGTCAAAGAATACTTGAGTTTTCAGTTTTCAAGATATTATGTTTGAGTTCTGTTAATACAAGAAAACTACATTTCAAGGCTACAGCGTTAAGATTTACTTCTCTCAACTCATTTTCAAATATTTCAAATGTAGGCAGCCTAAAATAATATTCATGAACAAATAAACTTTTAAGTACCTACTTACTCAAAACATATTTAGATTAATAGGTAGGTATAATGAATGCTTTTAAAATTATGTATTTGATTTTAGTAGAAATTGGTTTATATATTCAATGAACTGATGAATTACTTCAAGGTCGATCATTTCACGGGGCTGAGGGGCCTCGGGTTTTTCACCAGTGTCCAACATGGTTATTCCGTCCGTTTTAATCTCCTTTTCCAAGTAGCGCAGTTTCTGTTTCATTTCATCGCAGCGGCGCACCTAGCTAACGAGTTTCCGTTGAAAAGCTTTGACATCAGGATTCGACTGACCATCGATAAATCACCAGGCGAAGAAGAGGGAACGAAAAAAAATACGATTGACAAAAAATCAGAAAAAAACAACATGTGTTATATTATTATAGTATTACAATGTACCTACTTACGTGACGAAACTGAACCAGACTCAATTCACCGAGTTCGGATACGTTGGGCACACGCGTCTTCGCTCAGCAAGAACAACTGGCACAGAACCATTTCCTCGTTACGGAACAGCGATCCCGTGGCTGCGATTCCCTGGTTCTCCGATCGAAAGACGACTTGGAAGCCCCCATGGTCGTCGCAGATATTATTAACGGTTACGAAAAAGTAACGACACTCGCTATGACGTGCGAAGTCAACCGCGGTAGATATTGGATAGACGTCTACAGGGTTCGACGACGGTATGATCCGTAGACAAAGGAAAACATGCGAAACAAAACAAAAATGAACACAAAATTAAAAATTACGATTCATATTATTATATTAATATTGTGGCTTCGGCCGTGATAATAATATGTTGGTTTGTGATAATAAGTTGGACAGTCATAGATAGTGATATCAGTCAACTACAGATTATTATGTGTATAGCACGGACTAAGATATATCTTAGTCCGTGGTGTATAGCTTGTTCTATGGTATAGCTGATGGCCGCGGTCAAATTGTTAATCTATAATATTGTTCCCCATCTATAGCATAATATTATTATCTTGCGAACCGGTCGATGTGGGAGCGCCGCGCTCGGCCACTGCAAATATTTTGGGGGCACGGCACACCCGCCTATCGTGTCAAGACGACTCGACACGACAACACGTTTATAATAATCTCAACACTCACAAGTTTATAATAATTGGCAATAATATTACTCGCCCTGGCAATATACAATTCGATTGGTTTCCAATACGCCAAATCCGGCTAATAAGTCAGTTTATTTGGGGACGATCGATAGTTTGAAAACGTATTGGGTATCAGGGGCCCAGTCGAATGCCGCAATAATTTTCTGGCGGCGAGTGAACCGCCGACACGAGCGTCGAAGTCGCCGAGCGCGATGACAACATTCCGACACACGGACTACAGAGTGGTTAATATGAATTACCTATACGGCATTGCAACAACAACATTAACAACAAACAACAGCGACACCGACCGGCGACCACGTTAAGTAATGTTAATACTATAATAATGACAATAATAATAGTAATAACATAACCACGAACATAGTTGGAAAGGTAGGATAGATAAAATTGTTTAATTTATATCTATTGCCCAGCGAAATATCTAGGTATTATTAAGAAAAAATTAGGTTGGATCAGCTACAAACTGTTCGTTTAAATACGGTCAACAAACTATTTATTAACATTACATGCCATATTAACCAACTAAGTTAGGAAAGACTTGCGTACAGTGGTTTTAAATTAATGGACTAGGTACCAATGTTGTCTGTAATTAGTTCTACATGTAATACAAATCATAATTTATTTATTAGTATTATTTAACACTGACTTATTATTATTGAATATATTTTGATGAAAATTGGCTGTCCGAATAATAAAAATATTTTTCTCATAATACAGGTTTCAAACCAGATTCAAAATCCCAATATGTGTCCCGTCTATTATGCCAATCACATTTGGACAACCAATTTTCATCAAAATATATTCAGTAATAATAAGTGAGTGTTAAATAATACTAATAAATAAATTATGATTTGTTTTATATTATGTAGAACTAATTTTCCATTATTATCAACAGACAACTCAGTCAGACAACAGAATTCCAAAGAATGGTTTCTGGGAGATTCTTGATATCCTCTTGAACTGTGGTTATTGACACCATTTCTAACCCAAACAATGACAACTATCAAATGTTTAATAACGCCCATTCTAAGGCTCGTTCAACTGTTGAACGTGCAATAGGAGTTTTAAAAGGCAGATGGAGGTGTTTATGTAAACAAAGAAACCTGCACTACAAGCCCCCTGTCTGCAGTAAGATTAGATAACATTGGAGATGAAAATCGGAGAGCAGTAATTGCTTATATGAACAATAATTAGGGATGATAATAATTGTAATATAAAACATTATACTTCAAATTTTTTTAACAATTTTGCCAGTAAATGTTTTTTGTTTTTTTTTTAAATTAATATAATAGTTATCTTTATAATGATATTCACATAATTATGCTACAAAGACATCATAATTTAATATCATTAAATAATATGTTTCATTGTCTCTCTTATGAAATCAATAAAACAACTATACCATGTACCTACTATAATATTGTAATAATCTTAATTGTGCATAACTTTTAATAGCAATTTAATATATTTTAAATTCTGAACGGATATTTATAATTTTTATTTTTGTGTCTGAGGACATTTTGAACAGTAATAGTGCAAGTTAGTCCAAGTAGTGGGGCACTAATTTATTGTTTCCTGGCTCGACCGGAAATTGAAGTCTGCGCACACCTATGTAGGTTTTGATAAACAATTTAATAGTTTGGTCAAGAAAGTTGACATTCTTAGCCCAAACGATTCTATTTATTAAATATATTAAACTGAAAAACCTTAGTTAATATGTTATTGTAATGTGATATTTCATTAATAACAAAGCTAGTTAATTTGTTTGTTTCATTACATCTTTGTAATATTATAGCGTTATTTTTAGTGAATTACTACAAAATTCCTATTTACACATTGAAATATTATTGTATGAAAAGATATGTTATTTTTGAGATAGTATTACCACCCATTGACAATATGTGACACAAAAATAAAAACTTTAAGTATTAAAATGTATAAAACTAAATGAATTAACACCAATGTTTTGTCAGATTTCGACAAAAAATGAATAAACGTTTAAAAAAAATATAGTAATAATAATATTTTAATATTATTAATTATTAAAAGTAACAAAATTGTACAGTATCACTTTGTCAGTCTGTTACATAATTGTACAATGTTAATAAATATTTAAAAAAAAAATAATAATAGTATTATTAATTATTAAAGGTAACAAAATTATGCTGTTTCACTCTTTCAGTCTTTGACTTATTTGAAATACTGTGCTATAATTTTTAATGCATCTGCAATACTGGCGATATTGTAAGCTTTTTTGTTTATTTGTATTTCTTTCTACCGCAATTGTTGCTCTAGCCATTTAATTTCAATCTCCTGCTGACGGAGTTTTATTTCCTGCCTATGCAGTTCAACCATTTTCTCCTGTGCTCCTTTACGTGTTGACCGCTGTTTGCATTTATTGTTATTGTTTGTTTATTAAAAAAATTCCAATTACATTTTATATAATATAAGATAGTATCAAGGGAAAAGGAGAGAGAGAGAGAGAGATAAATCTCAAATAAAAAACAAAAAAATATATATATACATAAAGATTGAACATTAATATATGAATATATGAAGAGAGATTATCAGAGAGAGAACAGTGAAATAAATCTACCTTATTTATGGAATTCCCTATAGTCATTAGAGTATTAGAAGGAGAGAATGAAATATATTTAGATGAAATATTTGGTGGATAGAAAGTTTGTTTATGTCTAGAGTTTAGGAGGTTTATTTTGAAGCATAAACGTTTGACTAGTTCTGGGCAATCTATAATATTGTGTAATAGTTTAACAAGGAATTTCAAATTTAGTTGTTTTAATCTTTTTTCAAGTAGTAATATAGAAAATAGCCTATTTATAATATTATGAGCAGAATGAGGAGCTCTATAAATGTGACATTGAAAGCTTAAAAATCTTAAAAAAATTATTTTGAATTCGAGAAAGGTCTTTATTTTGGGTTATAGAGTTAGTGTGCTCAATCAAATTTGCATATTCCTGTTGAGAGCGTACTAATGAGAAATATAGTAATTTAAGAGCATGAGCGTCTTGCAAGTCTTTACATGTGCGCTTGATAAATCCTAATTTGGCTGATGATTTTTTTAATAATAATATTAGTACGTAGTTTGAAATTAAGTTTTGTGTCAAACGTAACTCCAAGATCATTAATTTCATTTACTCACGAGATTTTAATATTTTTTAATTTTTAATCAGAAGTGATGGGTCCTTTTTTTAAGGAAAAGAAAATAGTTGTACATTTTTCTAAATTTAGAGACATACCATTTATATTGCACCATTTTTGAAATGAATTCAAATATCATTTTGAAGTAGTATAATATCATTTTGACAGCGAATAGTATTAAATAATTTGAGATCATCTGCTAGTAATAGAAAATTAGAATGTTTTAATTCATAAGTTGTATCATTTAGTATAGTTAATTACACTCATACTATTTGTGCATTATTTAAGCTTACTTAAATTGGTTGATTTCTTCTTATTTAAATTAGTAGTGGTAGAGTACGATCTTTTTCCTGGATATTTTCCTGCTGCTACACTTTCTACGGGTATTTCAAAATTAATCGGTGGAATTTTTCCTTTCACTGGTTCTTTTTCAGTTAGTTATTCCAAATTGTAATGATCATCCTGCAGAAAAATATTAAATAAATTATTTATTATAATATTAAATAAATAACCCCTTTTTATATCAAAAATAGTTGTCGTATTGCAGGCTGAAACATTAACCACTTCATAGTCTATATCCTAGTAAAAATATACAATATTAAATATTTTATGCTATTAACATGGTTAATCAAACAATTTCAAACATATAAAGTTTATCATAATGTAGTAATGTACCTACTAATAATTAATAACATTAAATTAGATTTATACTTGTAATAAAAGTTGAAACTCAATTAACTATCACATTCAGGACTGGGTACTGTGCATAAATAATCAGGTGAACAATATACAAATAGTTATCGAAATAATGAACCTCCCTTGTTTGGTGTTTCTGTTTTACAAACTAATAAAATAAACAATCAAAAATTAATTCAAGTGATTTTGATCATTGTAATATTGTAAATTATTGGTTTGAAGTAAATGGAAAAAGATATCCTAGAGAATCTAGGAGAACCTACTTTCGAAAACCAAAAACCTTCAATTTTAATATTTTGGAAAATCAAATACTGTTTCCTATTTGAAGTAGTACGGAGATCAATTTGACTTCGGTGAAAAATATTAGTTTGGGCAACAACGGGTTCTCGAGCAAACGTAATTGAAAATCAAAATTTTGAAAAACACTCTTGCGAGTTGTTTTACTCGAAAACAGTGAGTAATAGGTCTAAGAACGTCAGAGATTAAATTGTTTATCATAGGAAGTTGCATCGAATGTTTATTTTCAATTTTTCAAAAAAGACGTAATTTAATGTTTTTCAAACATAATTTTGAAGTAGGTACTTACCTACTTATTATCGACTACCGACACAGCAGTTTGCAG